TTTTAAGAATCCGGAGGCAGGTGAGCGAACGTGCGTTTTGATCACGAATCTCTGTATTTTTTAGATGACCTTCTCGGACGCCATGAAGAACAAAGCGAGGCTGTCGATAACTGGGAGCACCGGAGAGAACGGCCGTGTGATGACTCCAGACTTTCCAAACGCAGTGCATGCTGGTCCCTACGTGAGGCCTGACATGGGAATGAATGTCAGTATGACCAATTTCTCTTGATTGACACGAACCTAATGAGTGCCTTACACAATGGTTTTAATCATGGTCTTTGGCTGAATTGGTCACACGGTGCATCCGGTATCACAAAGACATTTTCTCTTTTTTTTTTTTTGTGTGTTTTTTTTTTGGCATTGGGATGGTATCATTCAAGGATGATGGTCTCAGCCTCTCCTCTGTCTCCACACCCCTTGTTTGAGGCCAGGCTTGACTGACATGCACAGCTGTCGTTGGAAGTACTGTAATCCAAACCCCGAAGTTGCTGTCGAGGCCGGGACTTGTTTTCGTTGCAGCCATTATCTAATCCTGGATTCGTTATGACTTAAGCACACTCAACTTAAACTGCATCAAGACGTGAGATGTTTTGACTTTTTTTTTTTTTTTTTTTTTAAGGAACAAATCATACGAAAATATTTTTTAAGTATTTTCACAAATAAAATGGCTTTTAAATAAATCTGCTTCCATAATGGTTGTTCAACTTAATCTGCAAGGATGTTAAAAAGACGCTTCAGGCTATCCGTTCCATGTTTTTCCAAGCCAAATATGTTCATGCTATTGGAAGTAAAATGTTAAAGTTGTGTCATTTATTACTATTACTCTAAACTTTCCTGTATATCCAATTCTTTGATCATTCGGTGTTCGTAAAAATACTTTGCGATGCTTGCCATTTGAAATAAATTCTTTTCTTTGGTTTTAATTTGTAAGAGAAAAGTAAATTCTTAAACTTCGTTCGCTGTAAAATATATTCCATATTTGTTGTTTTTGTTTGCTGTTGTTTTCCATATTGGAGTTTGAAACCTCCCTTCTCCCTTCCGCCCTTTCAGTTTGAAGATCAGGGTAGTAGTATTAGTAATTACAAAACAAACGTTTACACGTAAGAAACGCAGAAGGCATACGTTATACTGTGTATGTTTTGTTAAAATCAGATACATATTTACATATTAATACCATTACAGTTTATTTAAAATGCCAAATAAATTTCTGTGCAACATTTAAAGGCTTTTGCAGCTGATTTTGACCCCAGTTCAAATCAATTCAGTTATTGTCCTGCAAGTGACTGATGAATTTTGTATTGTATAGTTGTATAGTTTTATTGCTTATTCAGTCAATTGCAAACTGATGAAGATTATTTTTCATATTTTACATTTTGCACATTAGCTTTTAGGTGCATGCGGTATTCTCACACATAAGACAAAATAAAAAATAAGAATATTATAAGAGTAAAATTGCCTTTGAGGTGGTTATGGCCACTTAAAATAACTACTGTATATCTAGTTTGGATAAGAAAGAATCAGTGAAGCTGATAATATATTTCTAAATGGATTATAAAAACAGCCGAGCCTGTATATTTCTGGTGGTATTGATTATGCCATGATATCTGACCTGTGATGTCACTTGTTTGTGCTATAAATGAATCCATTTAAATTTTACGTGCGATATATACATATGTATTGAATTGGAAACCGAGCTACAGATTTTGTCTGCTGTCTACCTGTTCTGGGACTGTGTTGAATCGGTGATAGAATATTCTCATCTCACCTCTGGAGAGGAACAGTGGTCACATGAATTCACCTTTGCCAACACACACTGGGCAATAAGACACAGAAGTACTTAAAAGCTGTTTTTGTTCATAGGTCCTGGCTAATTTTGTATCTGAATAAAATCTATACATGGATGAACCTCCGCTGACGTAAATGGGCAGGGAGGCATAATTGTACTCATGTTATCATTTTGCTTTTTTGTTTTGAATATTAAAAAATGTTACTTAATCAGTTTATTATTAAAACTATGAGCTGTTCTCACGGACATTTTGTAAATGGAATGTGTGCTAACTGGTTTATTTTTTTGGGACTTTTTAAATAAAATGAGTGAAAATCTTGTTGCTGTTTTATTCTGCTGCAGATGGCTGGTTTGTTTATTTATTTATTTTCTGTAAGCCAGCGAGGGACAGGAACTTGATTTCTTCAATTGTGTTAGTGTGGCATGGTGAGATTATTTAAGTTACATTAAAACTTAAAGCGTTAACGACGATAAACAATTACTTAAGCAGGGAGGGACCCTCTTGCTTTCGATTCATTAAGAACTCTAATGCACCCCAAAATGAAGCAGATTAAATGCCCGTTGCACCAAATGTAGAAATATACGTTATCTATGAAACTTATATTGTTGAGGATTCAGGTAGCACAACAAATATAATTTAATGTGTAAGTATAACAATGTGTAGCAATGTGCAAATGGTGTATTTTTTACCATGGGTTTCTACGGTGTTTATATATTTCAGGACACACTACTGCTGGTAATGTAATAGGATATATTTAACTCAACTGGAAAAGTGTTTTGAAGATAGATGGAAATGTTTAAGTGAATTATAAAAGATAATATTCGACTTAATTTAACTTTAATGACAAACATGGTAAATTTCAGCATGCACTAATTGATGCTGATTGATTACTGTAGATAGCATATTTTCACAGAAATGCAGATTCATTTGCGAATACAGAATGATGCCGGAATCAAGGATAGCTGTTTTTTTAAAGGTAACTGACAGCATCATTTCTTAAAGTCAGGATACTAGATCCTGCAGAATGTGAACATTAAATGAACCCTTTGAAATGTGATACACTGATACGTAACCTACAGTATTTTTTGGTGGAGGCGGTGCTAGAGAATTGGGTCATTTTTCAGCTGAGTCGACCTTATTCCGAGACATTACAGGACTGCAGAAAGTATACCTACCAGGAGAAAAAGCCAAAGAACTGTGATAGGTGCACAGCTGTGAGAATACTCACGGCGTGTTGAATCCTTGTACTCTGGGATGCGGATCTTTGGAGAGTACGGTGCAGCTGTCGACCATTTCAATGAGTCTCTCTTGGCAAGCTATACTGAAACAATCCACTTATCTTCTATACTGGCTCTGCTGTATAGGGCCATCATAACCCTATATTGGTCATGTGACCTGGTCTTGTGATCTTGCAGTCTATCCTATGAATCACCCGACAGCCACAAATTCAATTTAGGTACTGTAACAATTTACCTGAAGGGACACAAATAATGTAGTATTGTGCCCTTGTGTATTAATTAATCACAAACTAAGTCTTAGTTACATGCTGATTTTAATTCATCATTAATGAATCGTGATGCATCTTTCATCCCAAACACTTACTATATTTGTTACTCTGTCTGTTAATTCTGTAAACCTTTGTGAACTACTGAAGGACCAAATCATGAATAACACAAGTGAAACACTGATCTCATATTTGTTCAGCATTAATGAATCGCGGCGTGTCTTTTATCTCAAGTAGCCAGTATATTTGTTCATGATTTGTACTTAGAGTAACAGCTGAGTTATTACTAAGTATCTGTGTCCCCTGAAGTAGAGTGTTATGGCAAGGTATAAATACCAGTGGAATGCCTAGACCAGTGTTTCCCAACCCGGTACTCGCAGTCTCCCAGACGGTTCACATTCTTGCTCCCTCCCAGTTCTTTACTGGGAGTTGGGAGACAGCAAAAATGTGGATCGTCTAGGGGTCCCCAAGGAAACGAGGTTGAGAACCACTGACCTAGTGGAAAAATACAATACAAGAAGGATGTGCAAACTGCACACAGAGGTGGCAGCTGAAATCAAACCGCCAGTATTGTAATGCTATGGCGCTACCCACAGAGCCGCAGTTCTGTGACTCATAAATCCCTGTATCGTTTTCATAGATTATTTAAGTTTTGAATATCCAGGAGTTCATCAAAAATTAATAAAAACACGAGTGAAAGTGACGGGGAGCGCAGGGGCGATGAGATTTGCATATTGTGTGCCAAGAACTTGCATAATTTTGCGTGAAACGAGATGCGAGAGAGATGGGGGGTGGGGAGTGGGGGGGTGGAAGCCGCGACACCAAGAAGCGTATCTGGCAGCTGTTGAGAGTCGCCCGAGGAAGCCGTCCGTCGAAAAGCAGCACTGGAGGAAAAGAATGGCCGCTCTGTTTCATGAGGACAGCAGGGTGTGCGCTGGTTACGTGGTAAATTATTGTGCCACAGTTGGGACAAGTGCATGGGGGGACAACAGGACAAAATACAGTGCAATGCAAGGCAAAATACAGTGCAATACAAAGCAAAATACAGTGCAATACAAAGCAAAATACAGTGCAATACAAAGCAAAATACAGTGCAATGCAAGGCAAAATACAGTGCAATACAGGACAAGAAGCTGTGCAATGAGAGGTCAAACAGTGCAATTTGGGGACTGAAACAAACCCCCCCCCCTCCCCCCACCATGATGCAATGGGGCAGCAGTAGAAGTTCACAGGAGTTTTGGTTCCCAAACCAAAGCTCTTTAGCCTCTTCAGGAATGAGCCTTCCTGAGGGTGCAGCTGGTGTTTACAGACCATGGGAAGGGGGTGGAGTCAATGATCTAGACGCCCAAGAACCTGCAGCTGCTGACCATCTTGACCGGAGATCCGTCGATGAACAGCCTCTGGTCTTTCTGACGTCGGCGATGATCCTCTTAGTCTGGTCGACGTTCAGGGAGAGAGTTGTAACCTCGGTAACTGCTCTTTGAAGTTCTAGGAAACCATGTCTCCTCAGGATCGATGGTCTTGCTGCTGCATGCTTGACTAAAGTGCTAAGCTGGAATTGCTCCAGTAAAACACCAAGCCATTAAAGACAGGGAAAAAACATAGAGACTCTAGATTCATGGGTCACCTCAGTACTCAGTAGCAACAAAATAATAACAGGTAATGTCACCTAATTTCTCAGTGACCCAAAAATATCACGATTACACCTGGTAAGATTGGCAATTATATTCTAATCCTTAATAAATGATTTGTTACATTTTAAGATCTACTGTGGCACAATGAGCAAGCTGTCAATAATCATTCCAATGATTGAGTGAATGTAAAATGTCTTAATAGTAGAAAAAAATCAACAAAATGCTTTATTGCTCTTTCTGTTGCAGGAAAGAGTATTTAATTAGCTATTGATTAGTTAACCATGACTAACTAGCATTATTTGTTTTACTAGGCCTACAGATACTGATACAATCTCTATTACTTTCTTACCACACCCCTAACCGAACATGAAGTATTTCCTGCGATGTGTCCCAAAATAGATGAGTTTTATTGCAATCATTTTAAAAAATAATTATTAATTTTGTTTTTGATTAATTTGCAGGTTTCTCCACATGCCTCCAAGGACCCCTGCCGGAGGGAAGCCGGATATTTTAGAGGCAACTATTTTTAATGAGTTTTATGCTTTAACCACCTTGAAGGTCTGAGCTGTTGTTATGGAAATGGGATTCTGGAACAGTTATTGTATTTTCCAACACTGGAAGCACAGAGTCGTTTCAAAAACACACTGAAAGGAGTGAGGAAAATTCTTAACAGAAATTTCAGCCTGGGGTTGCACATTTGTTATAGACATGTTACAGTTTGATAACCGTATACCTGGATATAGCACACAGGAATTGGCGACAAGTATTTGATTGTTAGCAAAGCAAACCAATTTTACATGGTTTGTTACTAGACTTTAAAATATACATGGGGCGGACAAAACAACTAACACATCACATAAAAACAGGAGTTGAAAATGGACTTTTAAGTAGCTACAGAAGTCTGACGTTGGAGAAACAGACGAAGGGTGGCTCTGTTCCTTATTTGGTCTGCAATATTAATGTATTGTTAGGTGTTTCTATTATTTTGTCCACCTTGTTTATGTTTTATGTTGAAAGCTCCAGGTTCACCACATCCCTGTATGGAAAATGGATGGATGGATGAATGGATGGACGGATATTTCACCTTGATAGAAATGAATTCAGCTGGCTTCAGATGTATGAAAAGAGGTGAAATTTGTATGGCAAATTCGTTTTTTTTTTTAATACCGGGTTTTTTTTGTACAATACCAGAGGTTGAACCCCGAGCAGGATTTCACCACAGTGAGAACCGGGCACGTGAGTTTTACTGGCACGTAGAAAGCTCTCCTGGTAGGTCACATGACTCCAGGCTGGAGTGCGTGCACCTGCGCACGTGTCGTTATTCAGCTGCTCCGGCAGCCTGCCTCATTTCCCACGTCATCCTCACACTGGCGCCAGTGAGCCAAAAGAGACACGCTGCTTCCTGCATGCGACCAAAACACACAGCCTCACCTCATGGGTATGACTAGTATGCCAGAGAGACTGAAACGCTTATTAAAACACATTATTGCACTGTGTAACTCTGCCAGTTGGACCTCTGTGCCTGACAGGAAGATCTCCAGTTCACATCCTGTACTTGGCAAGAGTAATCACATCACCTCTGGGTCTGTGAGCAAGGCCCCTAACCCTGAAAAATGCCCCAGGGACCCTCGATAAAAGGCTGATCCTGTGATCTGACCCAAATCTTTGCTTTCCCTTGTATATGTCTGCATTTGTGTCACAGGAGACCAAGACAGGCGATAATTGGATTTCGTCGTCTTGCTACCTGTGCAATGACAATAAAGACATTCTATCCTAAAAGTCCACTTGGCCAGCAGTGGACTTCGAAACGGGACACATTCCAGAGAGCACATATTAAAGAAATGCAGGTGCATGTATTTTTTATTTTCGACCGAATGGCTTACTGTACTTGTGACTGACAGGCTAATGTTACACGAAGGAGAAATGCTTAGACTGGAACATTCATTAGCACAGGTGGCTAATGGTTATGAGCAACGGCATTTAGTGAGAAGTATTGCATGCTAACAAGCTTACTTTCTGTTAAAAGCAATTTACAAAACAAACACCATTCTATAAAATAAGGATAATAATAACGACATGCCTCCAGGACTGGGAGTTTGCTAACTGGCTCATTTGTGTCTTTAATTTTCACTTATGACTTTGTGTGTCTGTGTGTGTGGGTCAGATATGCATTACATTGTGGGGACCAACAA